TGTTAGGGTTAAAACAACATCACGGGATACACCCTTGCGAAACACCGAGTACCGAGTCCATCGGTTCGTGGCACCTCTAAAACTGGCCCGCGAAAATCAATTCCTAGTTGGCGAAACGGCAACGGACGGGCGTCATTCATCGCTGGTTCTCGCGTAAAAAGATTCACTGTCACAGAGACCCGCGTTGCACCAGACGCATTGCGTTTCATTCGAACGGCGGGAGGGGCAATTTTACGGGTAATTATATTTAGAAGGGAGTGGCACTCGACCTACTCGCGAAACTCGTCCCTTTTCCCTGTGCCGCGCACAGAGAAACTCGCGCGATCCCGTAGAATCCGCGGCGCAGGACCAAGCCTGCGTGCAACTTCGGAACGCCGGTCGCCGTCTCCATAGTTACGTGTCGTGGTGCTCGCGTCCCCTCGCCGCCCCCGCGGACGTTCTCCGTCCGTCGAGATGCAGGGTTTCATCCCTCTATCCGGCCGCAGCGCCGGGGCGGCTCCCGTGCGGCGCAGACGTTCGCTGCCGGTTGACCCAGGTCGCGTGATCCTAGTTCGGGCACGACGTTCTCACGCTGATTTTTCACTGGCCATCGGAGTGTCGCGTCTCGAGACCGTCGCCAGAGCGACCTGGACCGGTCGTGGAACCCGACGCGACCGTTTTCTGGACGATCGTTCGACGTTAAACGGTCTCCCGAGAAGCGTGTCGTTCGGTACGGTGGTTGGGGGACGGTGACCTTGAGCCGTCGGCCAGGTGTAGTTCGAAAGGGCTGCGAGTTCGCGACGATTCGTGGCCATGGGATCGATTGGGCGCCGTTTCCGCGCCCAAAGGGGTGGTTCCCTGAATTTTTCTCGCGACCATGTTACGCGCGCTGGATCCCGAGGTGCGCGATGCTGTATGGCAACGGAGATGGGCATGATTTTGGTTCGAATAAAAATTATCAAATTGCGGGGAAAAGGTGAATTGTTTCTTAGTTGTTGAATGAAAATAGAATTCGAATGGAGTATTTGGATCGCAGTCGGTAGAAGAATAATACAAACTTTTCCGGAGAGAACTGCGGTGAGTTAGGTGGGGTTAGATTGTAAATCAAACTTATTCGCCGAACCTCACCCTTTTATTTCATATCTTACAACTTACTCTCTTATTTTGTTTCAATTTTAACATGAGAGTGAGACTCCAAGTGTCGATAAATTGATGAACAACAAAATATTGATTCAATCTCTCATTTTACTATTCAGGGGAAATAGTGCAAATGTTACAAGTCACGATACGTTCAACACGATTCAAAGAGCAAGCGTCATAAGAGCAGTACTTACATAAATAAATAGCAAGTGCTATGCAGATTTCTTATTCGTAATCCTTTATTGGAATCAAATTTTGTCCATCTCCGATCGCTGATTCGAACGAGAAGACGAATGGGTCGCGGACTGATCGGTATGAAAAAACGTTCAATTAACACGGGAGAAGTTGCTACCAGTGTGCACGCGTGTGGGGCAATCAGTTCCGCAGCTTTTAGTGCGAACGAACGCGGAATGGTAGCGCGGGGGAGGCGCGTTTGACGGGCGCCGAGAGATTAACGGCGCGAGACTTTCGTCGATGAATCATCCGGACTGCGCTTGGCGAACTTCGTGGACCGTTCCTCAGCGAAAAAGATACGAGAAGAAGAAGATGAAGGCGGTGCCCGACGCTGCGAGACGATTCGTAATAAGCACAGCGCCCACTGCGCAGACGTGAAACGGGCACGTGGTCTGCGCTGTTTTCTGAATTTTCGAATCAGAGACTCGCCGTACGCGCTGACTTTGCAATATTGTTCCGTGTATGATCTCTGAATTAATGGTGGAATGGTGGAATTTGATATGTGTAGGTATCGATGAATCCTATTCGGTGTCGAAGTACGCGAAACCAAGTATTGAATAGTATCGAAATCTCAGTTTCTTGGTGCCAATATTCGTATAGTAAACCCTCGCGATAGGTTTAAATCGTTATTTCTCTATATATGCATTGAAATTGTTTAAGCTGACTCCATATGTAGTGGGTTATACAGAGACTTTGGTAGAATTACAAAATAAATCTGTATTTGAAAACGAAAATAAATATATGCAAAGTTAAGATGAAATTAGGCTTATTAATACTTTGACGTCGGATGACACGAATATGCTGCATCGAGATTTTTATACTTGTATGCCTAAAAATAAATTGATAATACAAATTGATAATTAAATTGATAATTCGTTACAAATTGTTTATAAATACCATAATTGGCGATTCTTCAATTAGAACCATTATTTCCATATTATCGATATTGAGACAATATATACGTTAAAAGGATGAATTACAATTTCGACGCTTGAGTTATGCTTCAGGATGTAGTCAAGAAATATTATAAACTTTCCCTACACCTTAACAATTATTTTTATACATACCATACAATGAAAAAATACTAATTTTGCTACTGTGAGGAGAATGCCATATTTTATTTTATAATAAAAATATTGAGAACCATTGAAAATGTCATATCAAAATATATAAATTATGATGTGAAACAGCAATTTGCCATTTTCTCAAAATTTATTTGAAGAATACAAATGATTGAAAAAGTTGTAACAGTGTTTTTTTAATGTATCGCGATGAAAAGGCACGAAATCGCACCAAAGCCAGTGTTAAAAAGAAAATTATGTCACTGCTATTTGACAATGTTGATGAATGTTACAATACATACCTATACAATTTTTTATTAAACTTGAATGTCTTGCTTTCGATGAAAAATATAATAGTTTTTAAAGTTATATTTCACATTCTTTTTATAATGTTCTCATATGAAGTTTTGAACTGAATAAAATAATTTGAAACATGTAAACATAAAATTATATTACATATCTGCATTCGTTATCTAGTGCTCTAAAGATGCAGTTTATAAACGCGAGTGTTGATAAAAAGTAAGAAGATCAAAATGTGATAATGTAACTGCTGTTGAACGCCTCCAATAAATCCGATGAACTTTTCCACTTACTCGAGACTCGCAGATATTCGAGAATGATAAGTTTGTAAATTATTGTTTCTTGAATCGACGATCCGTGACTTTTGGGGGTGAAATCTTCTTCGGTGGTTTTTGTGAGAAACAATGACGAACTCGAATAGCAGCTCGCTGTCGCGCGCCTGGCTGCGAGCGAATTGCTGTCGTTGCGGCGATACACGCCAGGACACTGTGAACAACAACCTTAAGGATGAGACACCGCTCCGGGAGGAGACGGAGACGCTTTTGCACCGCATCGCGTTCACGGTTTGGCACACTGCCCTCCATATCGAGAGCGAGGTTCGTTTGCTACTCGCATGATTAATTGTTTCTTCTTTTAATTTAATTTACAGCCTGTCTAACCTGAGCCTGTACGCCGTAATATTCAAACGGTTTAGCGTAATTAAATAGAGTAACTTGCAATCATTTCGCATACCTTCTCGCATACCATTCAGTCTCCATCCTTATTTATGGTTTTGCGTTTCCTGTTCACACAAGTACTAATTTTTAGGAGTATTCTTGGTCAAACATCGAAACTCCGTTACTGTTTATCCGTTACTGTTACTACGAAACAATGAGAGACAAGTGAGACATTTAGTTCTTGGCCTTGGCAACGATGTGTATCCAGGAGAGAAATTGACATTCGGCCAAGTTACAACATATATATAATTATATTTTCAAATGTAATTCAATTTAGGGAAAATAGAACTTTTAAGATTTTTATTTTTATTTTTGAAACTAAATGTCGGATGAATCAATTTTACATATAAAAAACTATCGTTTTGTCATTCTCTACGAGATGATATTTTTTAATTTTAATTTAATTTAAATTTTAATTCAAAGTTAATGCGTCGTACAGACATGATAAACAAAATAATTACAAGCTCTTTTATTTAAGTATACTAAGTTGTTTGGAAATAACAGTGTGCACTTTCTTTTTAGACAGTCTGTAATTCGCTAAATTAAAACGACTCGTAAAAAAAATCGACGACGTTACACGTACTGGCATTGGTGCATGTCGAGATGCGAGAGCTAATATTCCTCGTTATGGAATTCGTAAGTCTCATTACATGGGATATACATATAGGGTGTATACAATTAAGTCTGGACAAACTGAAGGAATCAATTCTATAACTAATTTCCAACAAAAAATTCCACTTAGACATTTTTCGAACAACCCCTTATTTTAGGAGTACTTTTACTTTTAATTTTTTTCTGTGTTTTCGACCTTACACTCTTTGAACGGCCATAACCCCATCAATTTACAGTGCAAAATTAAATCTAATATACCATTAGAAAGAGCGTTAAGTTTCCAATATCTCTGATGCCAAATCAAAATTTATTTCGTAGGTTTAACAAATGAAAAATCAGGCCAAACTGCAAACTTTGACAATTTCTAAATGGAGTAGATACATTTTTCTTTAGTGCCAAAATGTGTTATTCTAATTGAAATTTAGCGGACCTCACTGTTCTCTTTCTTTTGTTTCAATAAATTATTTTTTCAAATCTAGAATTTTATCGGTTCTCCCGCTTTGAAAACATCGATTTTTTTGCATTGTGAAATCAGTCCTGTTGCAATATCCATATCATTTATCTGTACACCGACGTAGCTTTTGACTAAATACTCTCTAATAATGATTCTAAATTCTAAATGATATGGAGATTGGGCACTTTTGACCCTCTTAACCGGCTATACCCAACCGTGCAGGAGGTTTGTGCAGAGTCGAGTCACGATGATCGATTATGTTTATTATTAAATGACGTGGCTGTCAGGGCAGGAACACCTGTATTCATGGAACAGCTGTTTCCAGAAATAATGGGAATAATTTACGCTTTATATCTGTTATCACTCTTTGGAACCACGAGCAACCTATTTTCTTCGCGACGTCTTTCACATACTTACTTCGACAGAAGTAAAATACGATTAATATTTTATTTAGACATACATGGAGATGGTTATATAATCGCATGCGATATATTTTTGTTGCAGCACAATGGGGGATACGAAGCACAGCCGAAGAATGTTAACACCATCACTAGGAGTAAACATCAACAGCAGGTAAATATTTTCATGCACCTTTTTGACATCCTGCAGTGGAAGTCTTATGAAAAATTATAGAACGAAAATATCAAAGCAGAGACGCGCGTCGAATTCTTTCCTTTCATTTATTCCTTAACCCTTTCCGTGCTACACGATAGTACATAGTTGTTCGGTACTTTTGCCGAAAGTGCTAACAAAGATATATCGGCGCGTTTATTACAAGGGCCATTCAAATATAAACCGGAATTTTTGTACACAGCTTTATTGAGGATAGATAAAAATAGAAATGGTCTTATTTTTCTACGTTAGTTCCTTCAAGAGAAATACATTTTCTTCGTCAGATAAGAAGCTTTCTGATCCCATCATAGAAAATAGAATTTAGCTGCCTCGATAGTCAACTACGCATGTACAGTTAAACTTGTGATTCGCTTTGACGGAGAAAGGGAGGCTTTTTTGGACGATATCGCGACTTGTCACGAAATATGAGTCCGTCACTATAGTCCAGAAAACAGCAGAATGAGTATGGGCTGGTGGAAAGTTAAAGAGGGGGCACTGATCGAATCCAAAACTCGATTGTCAGCCAGGAAAGTTCTGGCAACTGTGTTTTGAGATTCAAAAGGTGTATTGCTGATTGACTACCTACATGGTTAAAGAACAGTGACTACTACTTCCTGCTCGTGGATAATGTCAAGACTGTTTATCACGAGCAATTGATTCACCGTGTCCTTCTTCTGGACGACAACGCACGGCCGCATATAGCAACGATAAACTCATGATAAACTCACTAAAATACACTAATACCTCTGGAATAACCTTATAATCCAGACCTTATTCCATCTCACTACTATATGAGCGGTATACCGAAAGAGGCATTAAAATGGAAAAGATTTAAAAACGACACAGCGCGCTACAGCGGCTCAACTACACTTGTACAATTGGTTACTGGAGCAGCCAACTTTTGTTTTTGTTTCTAAGGAGATTAGAAAGCTTCCTATTTGACGAAGAAAATGTACTCTATAGTACATTTAGAATAGAATAGAATAGAAATTGAAGAAAAGTACGTAGAAAAATAAGGCACTCCATTTGTATTTGTATTTATCGCCAATAAATTTATGTACAAAAATTCCGGTATATATTAGGTTGTCCCGAAAGTTTCTTTCACGAGTTGCACTAAATTATTTTATGTAGTCGTGTTTATATAAATAGACAATCTAATTTCATAGATATTCATGTTGTGACAGTAATGGAGCAAAATGAATCGTGCACAATTCAGTAATGTAACATAAAACGTAAAATATTGTGCATGTATTACTTATTAATAAAGCGAAAGAAACTTTTGGGACAACCTAATATTTGAGTGACCCTCGTATATGGTGGTTTTATGTCTTCGATACTTCCATCTGGAAGGAAAAGAATGAAACTCGTTCTACCGCAATCATCCATTTGAACTTTTAGGACTAAACGAGTTATCGAGACGTGTTATTTTGAAAGTTCGAAAGGTTTAATAGATCTTCGAGACCTCTGTATTTTTATGATTTACCGTTCCGTACTTTTGTTCGTCGTAAAATCACTTCCGCGCACCTTTCCCGCACGGTGCCCGTAAATTATCCCATCGCAATCTCGGTAACCAGATCTCGCAACGCAACTTCGAACCTAAATTCGTTCTCGTAAATTCGCTCCCGCGCGTCTCCCAATACACCGTCGGCCATAAATTATTCCTCGCGGCCCGAAGAAGCGACGTGGGCATTCTTCTCGCGCCGGGAAACAGCGAAAATACGCGAACGATCGTTATGCAAAGAGGGCTGCAACGTCTCAGGGTTTATCGTTTACGATAAGAAGTCGCGATCTACACCATTTGTAAGTCGGCTCTCTAAATATTTAATATTAAAACAACTATACGGTCGTACTACGTACCAAGGATGCCTCGTGTTGCTGGGCTTTTGGTACCCACCGATTGAATCAGGCGCGCCTTCATTTATTCCGCGGGAAAACATGGCCGAGTCCTATTTACATTCGAAACGGATCTCGTTGTCCTGGAACGAGCTGTGCTCCCTTAAGCGTGTACTCGACGATGCGAATAGGGCTGAGACTATTCGAATATCATTTCGCGGATACTTAGAAAACATCCATTCCCATCAAAAGTGGTATTCCTATTACGTGAAACTTGGGCGAGACAAGACGATTAGCGATGGTTCTTTCACGTAGAAAACGATTCCAGTAATAACCTCAGGAAAGTGTTTAAGTAAATTGCAATCCAACGATGTTAGCTGAAGCTTAAAATATTAATAAATTGAGTACAAGCACTTTAGACGGGAACAGCGCGCTGAAAGTCCATTTTCTTAAAACAGTAGTGTGGTATAAGTAGGTACGTAAATCTCGCTGTAATGCGGTATTTTCTTCTCTTCTCTTTATACAATCTTCTTAATTCTTTCAATTTAGATTCCACACGACGCTTGGGTTCAGAAGAACCTAACGCTGCATCTTCGTAATTAATATTGTAAATTGTCGTATTTACTTTTCTTTTTTTTCCTCAATCCATATTATTTGGCTGGATATAATATTGGGTTGAGTAATAAGGCTGTTCGCGGTGACGGTGGCACGCATTTCGATAACATTAACTTAACCTCCTCAGGGACGATTTTTTTATGAGAAAAAAAATGACTTAATTTTTGTTACGATTAATAGGAATAGGAATAGGAGCGGTAGTAAATTATTGAATTCAAGCCACCATTGTAATCTATTTTTAATTAGAGTTTCTAAAAGCTTACAAAAGCACGAAGCAAGTGCTATTGGGCGACCACTTTGACAGTCTGGTTTTTCGATAAAACGAATATATGAGTATTGCCATTCTACATGAGAGTATATTTGGTTAGAAATATCTAACAAAATTAATTTATATCTTGACGGTATTTTTTTTTATTACGTCATAGTTGATTCCGTCTAAACCGGGAGATGAATTGGAGTTCCGTGAATTTATTCATTCGGATTAAATTCGGTCAAATTTAAATACTGATCAAAAAACTCATCTGGATAAGATGTAGGATCATAGGATGGGTCGGTGGGCACCTATGGCGGGCTAATCTTGTTAAGAGCTGTGATCAGTTTTTCATGTTATAGGTTTATCTTGGCGTTCGTTGGGTTAATATTGAACCATTTACTTTTAAAAATTTTAGTTTTATTCCAAATGAATTTTAAATCTGTACGAAAATTGAGGGTTTTTGTAAACTCCTCAATTTTCTTTATTTTTTTTTTAAACAGTTTTTGGCGTGAGCTACTGTTTTTTTCTTCTTTAATAAGTGTGTTCTCATCTCTTCAATGCAATCTTTCTTAGTCTTTTAATCTTATCACATTCTTCATCCCACCATGAAACTGGATTGTTGTGCATAGATTCTTTAAGTATTTTTTTTTTTAGGGGTATTCTTCTTGATTGATTAGTTAATATGTTCAAAAACACTTTGTATTTATCGCTTGCCGACATTAAATCAATTTTTGACGAAAGAAATTCAAAATAAACGTTGTCTAAGCAGTCAAGAATTCTTTCCCAGTTGGTACGGATAGAATTTATTTTGAAAGATGTTTTTTGGTAAAAATTTTGATCAACATTCAGAACAGAGAGGATCACCTTGTACGTTAACCGAGTTTTTATATTCGATGCTTGTTGTTAATAGTATGAGGTCCATGTTGGATTTCTTATTTCTATGAAAATCTGTGCGCAAGTTCGTATTTGAGTTATGGAGAAAGAGGTTGTGATTTTCAATGGCTTGCAAAGACAGTTCACCATTGCTATCAGAATTAGCTCCATTCCAATTTCTGCGATGAGAATTAAAATCGCCTATTAAGATACAGTTTTTATTGTTCTCTAACTAACTAACTAACTACTTGTTTCCATTACCTAGTTGATAAAACGAATCCAGAGGCTCTATATCCTACTATTATTTTAAAGGAGAGGTTAGTATTTGTAACGCGAATGCCACACATTTCGATTGTATTGTCGGGAATGCCTGTCCGAATAACTTCTGAAAATGCAGTATTTTTACGTAATAATACAACGATACCTTCGCCAGAAAACTTCACCTGACAATGTTTTGTCAGGTTTTATTCACCACTCGATACCTACGAAATTGTCAATGTTCTTCAATTTCATGGTTAATTCTTCTTTGCGTACAGTTACGCTCTTTGTATCCTAAAACATTAGTAGTATGCCAGAGAAGTCAAGTAATCGATTTTAATGGGAATGTTTACGACATTATGCAGAAATATCGGGAAATATGTTGATCCTAGTAATATCAAATTTGTCGATCGTACTTCGCAAGACAGTGTTCGTATGTACTTAAGCAGCAATGAAGCAGTCGACGAGTAATCACCGGGACTCCGATACAGATGCTGTAGCGGAGATCGTTGATAGGTCATTGCTTATTGTTTGTAGAACTTAAATCTAAGGGTGGCGAGTTCGGAATCTATTGGAGTTTTTTAGTATTGTTTTTGCTATATCGTTCTTTTCAGTAGAGTACGTTGGCTACTTTTTTTGTGTAATCTATATATTCTGTTTTTTATAATGATTTCTTGAGTCTTGAGTCTTTGGTTGGAGTGTGTTACCTAAAGGCGCTTTCGAAAAACTTCTAAATTCATCGTAGCTTAAGGTGTATTTCTATATTTTCTATATATTGCTCTTATTCTCCATATTTTTTCGCGCTCGGAGTTGGATAAATTAAATCGTGTCGGGTTTTCGTGAGAGCTGGTGCTTTTTTTTGCATCTTTTAGTGCAACTTTTAATTGTTGGCGTATCAGTTGGTAGTTTGGTTGGGGATCCTGTCGGTGACTTCGTTAGTTTGGGTTCCGCAATGACATCTTTACTGGTTTACGGTTCTTCTGCTGAAGTTACATTTTTGCTGGACCTGGCTAGGTGGTGGCTTTCTTCTTTATATAGGAAGTACGTTAATTTTTCCATTTCTAAATAGATACAGTAGACAGTATTGCGATAATTAATTGAAAGAGACTTTGGAATATTTTGAACTTCA